GGCAGTGAGGGGGCAGTGAGTGGGCAGTGAGGGGCAGTGAGTGGGCAGTGAGGGGGCAGTGAGGGGGCAGTGAGCGGGCAGCGGCTGGGCAGATGCAGAAGTACTGACTGTTTCTCTTGTTCTCTCTTTTTTGCCCAAGGTTTGAGCATCCGAGGAGCCCAGGAGGAAGACCCTCCGGATCCTCAGCTAATGAGACTAGACAATATGCTTCTGGCAGAAGGAGTCTCAGGTCCGGAGAAAGGTGGGGGATCGGCAGCAGCAGCTGCAGCCGCAGCAGCCTCTGGAGGGTCTTCAGATAACTCTATTGAACACTCAGATTACAGAGCCAAATTGACCCAGATCAGACAAATCTATCACACAGAGCTGGAGAAATATGAACAGGTCAGACATCAGCCTCTCAGTTGTTCGTGTACCTGACGCTGCTCTCCTCTGCTTGCCAGTTCCCAGCACTGCCCACTCTGGACCACAACCCTTCCTCCCCTTCTCCTCCCCACTCCTCTGACCATAGAGAGACACGATGGGAGTCTGTCGGGCTCCAAGGAGCTGCTGGCTGGAGCCAGGACACATGTCTTGCATGCCTGAGTGTTTTCTGTTTTCTGTAACTGCACAAGAGCAACACCCAAGCCTGTGTTTCTCCCCTTTGCCCAGCCCACAGAGGCAGAGAGGAGGAGAGATGTCTGTCATTCAGTGCCACCCTCTGCCCTGATGAGGTCTCACACAATTGGATCTGGCAAGTTGGGGAGCACAGGCAGACAAGGGCTCCATTGGCCATCTCAGGCTCCTGGAGCAGGTGGCAGGAGACTGGCACAAGACTTGGCCATGGCAGATCAGCTGGAGCAGGTTGGAAGAGAGTGGGCAGTGAGGCCCCAGCAGAGCACCTGGCCCAGGCAGGAACTAGGGAAATCCTGGGACAAGCAGATGCCAGCACAGTGTCTTTGTTGGGAGTGAAGAGCATGCTGCAGAGACCTGTAGGTTTGTGTTCACCACTGAGACCTGATGATCCAACACCTCTGCCATGCCAGTGGTACTGAGAATGTTTGCCACATGGTGCCAGCAGTACCGTGTGTCTCAGGTGCCAGTGGCACTGCCTTGTCTGTGCTGTCTCTTTCACTGTGTTGTTCAAGTGGAGAACAAATAACTCAGCAAACACCTGTCAGGGTCTTTGTGCAAATCTGCTGTTCCCCTCTGACTTCCCAAGGTCCCAGCAGTCCTGTGTGGAGCCCTGAGCTGTCCTTGCCCTGCTGGGTGCAGCTGTAGCAGGGGTGGGGTGGCTGTGGGATTAACGAGCCCACGCAGCAGCAGCAGCAGCAGCATCAGTGTGTCTCATGCAGCACAGTGACACAGGCTGCAGGTAGAGCTGGGCCAGAGAGGCAGCAGCTCCATGCTTGCAGCTGGTTCCTGGCAAACATCCTTGGACTCTAATAAGTTTAATGACGTGGGGGAAGCAGGAGCATTTTTTGCCCTGTAGCTCCATTTACAAAGGCTTCAGCTAAAATGTCACAGCCATCCGTCCACACCACAGGAAATTTTGGAGGATGCTCAAATGCTGCCGGAGCAGAAGAGAAAGGTAGAGCTGAGGACGAGACATGCATGCTTCCCCACGGATCCTGACACCCAGCCACGTCTGCTCAACAGACATATGATGATTTCCCCAGCCTGGCAGCAAACTGTCTCCTGCTGGTTTGTCTCATTGCAGTGCCTGAGAGGCAGCCAGGGCTTGGCATCTCAGCCTCTGGCGCCACAGGTTCTGGGAGGAGGAGGAGCCCTCCTGCAGTGGGGAGCCCGTGCTGGGCACCTGCCCGCCCCGCAGAGCCGCTCCTGCCATCCCTGCCCGGCGCTGGCACTCCCGCCGTCCCATGGCAGCAGGAACCAAAGCGCCTTGCTGGAGATGCTTTCCAGGCAGAGTTTGATCCTGATATTTGTTGCCAGTCAGGGGAGTGCACTCAGGAAAAAAAAAAAAAGGAAAGAGAAATGGAAAGTGTGTCACGCCATCACCCAGCACTCCCTCGTCGGGCGCCAGGAGAAATGGCCACGCACAGGCTGCGCCTTCCATAATTTACAGCTCCTATAACAGAGATGACATATTGAAAGCTATCTGCTGTAATTACACTGAAATACATTTTTTGCTGTAGGCAAAAGTACTGCAAGGGTCCCAGGCCTCCTGGAGCAGCTGGGAACCCTGCTTCAAGGGTTCCCAAGTTCACAGATGTCTCCTGAATTCACCCCAAATTGTGGTGAAGTGTGGCAGCTCAGAAGCTGCCACCAGCCTTACAGAGCACTGGCTGCCACCTTGCCCCTCAACACTGTTTTGGGCCATTTCCTCTCTTTTTCCCCATGCAGTCGTGATGAAGCACTGAGGCAGCAGGAGCATCCCTGCTCCTACAAGGTTTCTGAGCAGGTTAACAAGGCCATCACTTATAACCTGACATTATTAATAATATCTCAGGCACCAAGCAGAGGCCTGAAAAATAGTTCTGGAAAAGGGATCAAGTAGCTTGGACGCTATAAATAAACAAGAGAAACAAGACAAAGCATCTGAGTCTTCTGAGCTTCCTCCCACTGTGCTGTGTGAGGCTACTCTGCAGCAGGGAGGTGCTGGTGGAGATGAATTAAACCTAGGCTCTCCAAGCAGCTGCAGCCAAACCAAGTCTCACCAGGCAAGTTAAGTAAAGTCAGGGAAAGGTTTTTGCTTCTTAAAAGCAAGAAACTACTTTTTGCTTTTTGAAGTCCAGTTTTTGATACTAAATCTCTTCTAGAAAAGACATACCTGAAAATATTTCTAATGCAACAGTTGCCAATTTTATTGTACTTTAAAACTGAATTCCCACGATGTGAAAAGAAGGGGGCTTGTGGAAAACTGTGCCTGGAACATCCATCCAGTGCCAAATTCTTGGGTTCAGCTGTATTTTGGAACAATCAGAACTGTTGCCTGATCTCAAGGGAGAGCTGATGCATTTTGGTGCCTGTGTCCCTTTTCCTCCTGCACAACATTTCCTGGGTGAGCCAAACTGGTGCTCCTGCCATCGGTCAGAGAGCCAGACCTGAGCTTCTGCATGCTGGGGTTTTCCCTTGATGGAAGGAAGAATGTGCTGGTGGGAAGTGAGGGTGAGACATGTCAAGCTCCTTCCCCTGGAGCTTGGAGAGTCTTGGGAAACCCGGGGTGGCAGGTGCTGGGGTGAGCAGCGGGCTCTGCGCCCTCGGTGGTGGCAGGAAGGGCTCTGCACCAGGGCTCACCAAGCACTGCCTCCAACGGGTGCTGCAAGGATGTAAATTAGCCTGTAATTTACTTTCAGTAGTGTAAAGAAAAAAAAATCACTTTGCCTGAAGTGTATGCATCTTTCTTAAGGGTGTACCCAGATTTTAATTATCTAAATGTAAATACTTAACGAATTTTACTTAGAGTAATGAGCTAAAGTGCACACTACATAAATGAGATGTTCTAATTAATCATGTATGAACTACTGGTTTAAAGAAAAGCTATGTGAATTCTGCGAATGTTGGGCTATTGCCAAATTGCTAATCAGCATTTGCATTCATAGATGGCTTCACTTAATAAGTTGTGAGACGTTCAGCAAATGTTATAGGAAATTATGAGTTTTTAGATGCATAAACTTTTCACTTTTAACTCCTTCCCTCACATCATCTATTGAAATGTCAGAGAATCCTTGAAAATGTGGTTGTCAGATAGATTACATACATATTTTGCAGCCTGGCTTTAGAGGGAAGAGGGGAGCTAGCAGAGTGTTTGTCAGGTTCCAGCCTGCAAAGGGCAGCCAGGACAGCAGGATGTGTGGAGGCTCAGACCAGAGGGTTCCTGGTGATGCCCCCGTCTGAAGTTTATATCAACATGTCACAGTGTGGGAGTGATAATCGAGGGCTCCCTTCCCTCAGTGCCAGGCTGGGGCAGTGTCACTGGAACCCACCTGGGACACACAGTGCTGCAGGGGGGTACCTGGGCACAGGGCTCGGGGTGTTGCCTACGTGGCTGTGAGGTGTGGCACCTCACACTCTGCCCCTGCTTGCAGCTGGCACAGGGGCTGATCCTACTGCCCCTGCCCGCGGGAGTCTGGCTGGGGACGTGGGGATGAGAGAAAGGGATGAGCATGGTGGGAGCAGTGCCATGGTCACTTGGCTCCCCTGGCTGCCCCAGGACAGCTGCAGGTCTCCTGGACAGGGTGGGATCCTGTTGGGGGGCAGGGCCATGTCAGGATCCCCAGCTCCCAGTGCTGCCTTCCCCCAACAGCCAGGTCAGAGCTTGTGTCCTTGTGGGACAGCACAAACCCACGTCTGAGCCTCTTCTTCCTCCACAGGCATGTAATGAATTTACCACTCATGTAATGAACCTCCTCAGAGAACAGAGCCGGACACGTCCCATTTCTCCCAAGGAGATTGAGAGGATGGTGGGCATCATTCATCGAAAATTCAGCTCCATCCAGATGCAGCTCAAACAAAGCACTTGTGAAGCAGTAATGATTTTAAGATCAAGGTTCCTTGATGCCAGGTAAGGCAGAGGCAAGTGCCTCTGTCTCTTTTGTGGGGGAAGCAGTAATTTCTGGGCAGCCCAGGGGAGCCTGGCCGTACTGGAGTGGTGTCCCATGTCAGCAGGGATGGGTGGGAGAGGCTGCTCTGTCCCAACAAAAGCCTTCATCCACAGCTGCTGTGGAAGGGACTTCCTGCACAGTGGGCTTTCAGAAGCAGCAAGGTATTTTCTACAAATTTCAGTGCAAAGACTGGGCTTGTTTTCCCCTCCTTGGACACCTGCACCACTGTTGGAGCTCGGTGCCTGTTCCCAGGACCCACAGCCGCCTCAGTGGGCTGCTTGCCTCACAGGCTGCCAGGGGGCAGGCAGACAGGGATTAGGAGGGGGGTTTAGGCACAGTCAGAATTGTTTTGAGAGCTGATGAGGTGGGATAGTGATCCCCAGCCCCATCCCCTTTGCAGGGGTCCCGTCAGCAGCACAGGGCCCTGGCAGCTGGCAGGGCCTGGCGGAGTAGGAACAGAGCCGGGCAGAACAGGGAGGAGCAACAGGCGCCACACAGAGCCTCCCTCCTCCAGCAGCTCACACTTCACACCTGAAAGCTGTGAGGAGCTAAACAAGACCAAAATAATGTTATTAACAAGGAGGTCACTGGCAGGTGTGGGAAATCAGGGTAATTGCAGGCAGTTGGAGGAGGTGTCTATGGAGAGCTCCAGGAACACAAAGGTAGAGCCTGCAGATGTACATTTTAAAATGATTTCTTTAAAAAGGAGGAAGGTAAATAAGGCAAAATGAGTGGAAGCATAGTAATGAGATAAACATAGCTCTAGGGAGGGATCTGCCTGCTCCAGGATACGGCGCAGTTAGCAGCACCGTGATACTCGGCGAGAGTGCGCTGGGGATTGCGCTCGGCTGCCGGCTGGCCTGGGGCACAGCGGTGATTGCAACAGCCCTGGGGGAAGGAGCTCCAAGGAAATGTTTAACTGAAGCCTTCCAGAGCATGTTCCACAAAAGGAGAGCAGCCGTGGGCACAGAGGGATGGCACGGCGGCTGTGCAGGCGCTGCCACTGTGACCTGCAGCTGCCACTGGCGAGGGCTGGTGGCTGCAGTGGGCCGGAGCGTGCGGGTGCTCTCCACAAGGCCTCTGCCAGGTGACACTCCTTGGGGCCTGTCCCACGCGGGCCAGAGCCTGGGCCCTGTGCAGCCCACGGCAGGAGGGACACAGATGGGTCTTGCACACAAAGCCCTGAAATCCACTTGCTGTTAGAAGCCAATTAGCTCAGGGAGGGCCTGTGAGGACACATCAGCATGGCTGCCCCATGCTGCTGTACTGTCCTCACCCTGGGGAGCTGTGCAGGGGCCCAGCTCACCTGTGCTGAAGGGAAGGAGGGAAGGGAGTCTGTCAGGCTGCTGCTGGCACAGAGGGGCTCTGTGGCCAGGAGCTTTGGGCTGGGCTGTGTACTGGGCTGTGGAGGAGCTGCAGGTAGGCTGCTGACTCAGCACCTGCCTCACCTTCTCTGCCACAGCATGTGAATGTGGCCTGTGCTCCCATGGGATGAACCCTGCAGGGATGAGGGGATATGAAGCCAGAGGCAGAGTCCAGAGGCCTGTGGGGCTGGGTGCATGACATGGTGTTGCTGCCTGCTGCTCCCTCCCATGGTGCTGGGGAGCTCAAAGGGATCAGGGTGCCAGGACAGTACTGTTGTGTTATTCTGCAGCAAAGGCTGTGAAATGTAGGCTGCTGCTCCCCATCCAACCCTGCCAGGGACCTGCTAGCATCTGGAGGAACAGTGGTGTTTTCCTTTTCTCATTTCAGACGGAAAAGGCGTAACTTCAGTAAACAAGCCACGGAAATCTTGAACGAGTATTTTTACTCCCACCTCAGTAACCCCTACCCCAGTGAAGAAGCCAAAGAAGAGCTGGCAAAGAAATGCAGCATCACGGTATCGCAGGTAAGCAGCCGGGAGGACCCCTGCACCAGCAGTGTGTCATTCTCCTGCTTCCCCTTGCAATGCTGCCATTTCCCTCCAGGCTCTGGGAGGTGGCTCCAGTGCAGGTGAGTGGTAAGAGCCAGGCCTGCCCAAAGCACCTCTGTCACCCCTCCATATTTGTGTGTTGACCATGAGGAGGTTTGCAGGGTGATGGAATGTGGCTGAGCTCTGCAGGAAAGGCTGCCTTCCCATGTGGCTGGGGCTGTGCTGGGGTACAAAGGTGCTGTGCACAGAGAAGATAAAAATAAAAAGTGGCCAGGTCTGCACCCCACTTTACCTCAGCAGTGAGGCTCCTGGCTGAACCTTGCTCTGCTTTGAATTCATTGCAACTGAGGAGGATTTCTGGGAAAGGACAGTTTATTGACAAATATAGGATCTATCTTTATATAGATCCAAATTTCTTTGATTGCTCAAAGTTGTTTTCGTAAGCCAATCAGAAATTCAGCCTCTAGCTTTGCTGAAGCAACACAAGTGGTTTCTCTGCGGCAAAGCTGCATTAGGCGGATTTGCTCCTTTTGCCACACACAACAGCTGTTACTGTGAAGTTAATGCAAGAAACCCAGCACCTCCCCAGTCAGGACTGTGCTGTCGTTGGCTGCAGCTGCTTTCTGTGTGGGCCAAAGTACCTGCACAGCTCAGATTGGTGTCTCACAGCGGTGCTCAGGCTGATGACACCATCGAGTTTTCCTTTACCAGCAGCTCGAAAAGCAAAACACCACTTGGCATTCCATGTGGCCTGTGTGTTTGATAGAAACCCCAATTATTCCCACACAAATCTGGCTTGTGCAGCTTGGTTTGAACTTGAACTTGTGTGGCAGGAAGTGCCCTGCAGTTTCCAAGTTCTCCAGCCACTCCGCTGCTGTGGCAAGGGCTGGTGTGCTGGCTCCTCCCTGCTCCCTCAGCTCCCTTATCAATATTTCAGGTCCTTGAGAGGAATGGTGCCTGCGGCGCATGTGTTAACTATTAATGATTGCAGGCTGCAGTATTGGCATTATTAGCAATGCAACCTTTAGCTTTATAATTAAGACCTGAGTTGAGATTTACTTTGTAGACTTCCATTGAATGCATAAAAATCCAGGCACTTTATTGAAGACTTTCAAATGAAAGGCTGTCCAGCTCTTCCAGATCTGGAATGGCTTGACTTTGGCTGCACTCACAGCATCAGCCCTGGCAGACCTGCCCCAGGACACATGTGTGTGCTTTGCTGTCTCCTTGCCTGTTCCTTGGCACTCAGCATATACCCCACTCCCACTGGGGTGGGAAGTGCCTGTGCTCCGTGCCAGGGGAAGCTACGGGATGGGGAGGGAGGCAGTTTCTCCCAGTCTATTTACAAATAGCTGTGCTGATGGGCAGGAAGTTTTTGAGGGAAACTCAGCACACAGCTCATTCCCTCTCCCCTTGCTCCTTCCTCATTCTTAGCATCGCACAAGGACTGCAGCCCCCTTGGGTGCAGGCCATGGGGCCACTGGGCTGCTCTCTCTGCCCTCGGGCATCCCTGCGGCTGCTGTGGATGCCTGGAACCAGCCAAACAGCCTGAGAGCACACGTGTGCCAGGGCACTGTGGTCTGCAGCCTCAGTCTTGCTGATGGTTTCAGTCCTTGGCATGAGATAGTTTGTGGCAATTCCTTCAGTAAGTCGTGTCCAGAAATAGTTAGGAGAGGCAATGCCATCAACATCAACTTAAAGAACCCAAAAGTTCTTCAGTTTTGGTTAATGTAATTGGGGGAGATGACATGGGAAAAAGCCCACCAGACCTGCTGAAGAGCTGTTCCCTCTGCACCCAGTGGTGAGTCATGCCTGGCAGGGAGGGGCTCAGTAATCCCTTAGTGTGGACAGATAAAAAGACAGATCAAGATAAGGCTGAAGTGACTGTAGGAAATGAGATGGAACATTTGAGAAGCCATAACTGATTGCTTCTAGTGCTAATAGATCTGATTTCTTTCTTAATTGGTTGTTTGATAAGATTTAATGTATATGCTGTAAAATGAAATAAAAGGCAAGCAGATGGTCCAACAACCCAGCAGTGGCAGAGAGCCTGTGACAGGAATATAGGTTTGTCTTTTTAATATTTGATACAGACATGAATTAGTTGTTTCTTGAATCCATTAGGAAGTCTGAGTGAGCGACAGGAGTAGCTGCATTGTGTCCTCCACAGCACTGTGTCCAGCAACCTCAGCCTTGCTGGGTGACATTGCCAGCCTGGTACAAGGGCAGTGCTGCCCACCCAGCCTGGCAGCAGGGATGCAGGACTGGGCCCTTGGCCACGGCTGGGATTCGCTCTTGGAAGATGTTATAAATTACCTGGAAAAACAGGTGTTGAAATGGTAAAGCCTGGAAATGGGGCCATGTATCATGTAATGGGAGAGGAGCACGTATGAGAGAGAGTGAGTGCCTGTGATCAGCTGCTTGCTTGAGCTCCTGATGGATCTGCTGTCACAGCTAGAGAGCATGAATACCATAGATATTCTAATCTTTGATTTCCAAAGGCACTTCCAAAGGCTGCATGGCAGTACTGCAGGTTAGTTGGTATTTTGTAGGTCAAGCTGGGTTGGAGGTGTCTTTCTTTGTACTGAAAAGGGTGTGTATTTTTGAGGCTGTGTAGCAGAAGAGCTCTGAGCAGGCACTACAGAGCAGCCCCACACACACTGCACTGGTGGCTGGCAGCAGAACTCCAAGGATGTAACCCAGAACTTTGAATGAATGGGGGAGTCATTGAAACCCTGGCAGCAGCAGCATCGCAGGGGAGGAGCAGTGGCATCCAAGGAAGTGACTGAGCTGCACCTCGCACAGGGCTTCATGGAAGATCTCTAAGTGTGTGTATTTTCAGCCTTGACCAACTGTCCCTTGGACCTTGCCATGCCTGTCACCATGCCCCATTTACCTCCTGCTGCAAATACCCTGGAGGGCCAAAGAGCTGGAAAAAGGAATAAATAACATTAAGGGATGGCTTTCCAAACTCTGGAGCTGTTGGCTCCAGATGAAGAGGCTTTGTCCTTTCCCTGGCTGAGCCAGGCTCCTCTGTAGCCTCTCCTAACGATGATCCCAAGTGTTTCTCTCTTGTACTGTCAGAACCTTGTACGTGCTGGGGGCAGATTCATGGCAGAACGTTTTCTCCCTCAAACACTTAATTAGTGAGTGTTTTGGGTCATCCTCCCCCCAGATTAAGCTGCTGACTGGAAATCCTGCTGCCATGGCACTTTACTGAGCTGCAAAGAAAATTGTCTCCCAGAATCGTTTCATTGCAGGTGGGAGATCGATGGTTTCAGTTTTGATATCGGTGTTTAAGATAATATGTAGAGAAGGTTTTTCAAGAAAAGCATAAAGACAAACTATTTATTAAGATGAACACCTCACACAATTTCATTTTTAAGAGTGTGGAAAAGGTAATTCTGGGGGAAAAAAATGTCCTTAACAGAGAACATTGTCGGCTGTAATTTAGAGCTACCCCATCAGCACATGTTGGAGGGAGATAAACTGTATTGTCTGTTCTCTCCTACCATGGCTGTGAGGCTGATGTTTTATACTTTTGCAGATGAGCCTCTTTCAGGGTGTCACAAACAACCATCAGTCTATCACATGGGCTGGAGAGAGGGCACAGCCAGTGCTGAGAGCGGGGCAGTGGAGTACAGCAATAACGTCTTTCACTGCTTCAAACAAAAGAAGGATGTGGTTGACAAAGGAATATATTTAACATTGTTTTAAAGAAAGGATGCAGGAGCTGGTTTCCAGCACCCCTCTCACCTCTTCTGCTTTTGAGTGCTTCTGTGAGCAGTTGGACAGGGAAAACTGTGGATGGAGGGGCTTTTACCCCTGGACTTCCTGTGGGAAGCAAGGAAAAAAGCTGCAGCATGATGAAATAGTTCTGGAGGTAAAGTTCTTGGGTTTAGGTCATAGACTGTGATTGTGCAACATTGATTTTTAAAATTTTCTGGTTTGTACCATCTTTTAGGTGTGGACCACAGACTGTGTGCTACAAAATTGGAAACACAGTGGAAAGATTCCCACAATCCATGAATCTGTAGCTCCTTAATTCCAGCAGTGATGCTCTTGCATCAGCTGCATCTTTGCTGAATAAGCACTGATTTATCCCAGGAAATCACCCACTCTGGAGACACAAGGCAGGCTTGCCCCATCCCAAATCCCACATTAGGCATCTTGATGATTTCAGTAATAATTTATTGTCTTTTTATTTAACATTGCAATTAACATGATAAATAAGTGCAACAGTATTGTTTGAAATGTAATATACAATTAAGCCAAATTAATTAATTGGCCTTCAATGATCAGGAGGAGAAAGATGTTCATTGGTTTTTTTATGGGAAGAGATAGTTTATTTTAATGAAAAATGTGTTGTGAGGCAGCTCACGATGGAGACAACTTCCATGTTGAGGGTGAGCTCGGGTCTGAGTGAGGAGCCGGGTCCCGGTGCTGACGGAGGAGCCCAGCACCTGCAGCCTGGTCTTCCCTGGAGCCATGGCAGTGCCAGCAGCACAGGCCAGGTGAGGTGTGCTCCAGGCGGGCAGGGATCCTAAATCCTGCCTGGCACAGTCTGCTGGAGCAGTGCCCTGGGCCTGTCCTGGCATTGTCCAGCTGCGGCCACAGCCCCCTGTGTCCCTGGGTGTCTCGGTGTGTCCCTGGCTGTCCCCGGGCTGGGCACGCTCTGCCCTGCACTGGTGTGTCATGGGAGCACGCAGGCTCCTGGGGCAGAGGGATGGGGGTAGTGACCGTGCCCCCCCGGGCTGCTGCGGCTCCTCCGGCGACACCGCGCAGGGCGTGCGCCTCGGAGAGGAAGAGTTGAACATTTCTGGATGTTCCTTTAGATGTGCTGTGCGGGTTAAACATAACGTACGAGCACTGCTCCTCTCATTGCTTCCAATTAAACCTTGCTTGTTAGTTTAACCTCTAGGTAATCCCATCAAACAATTGATGTCAAGGAAACACTGCCCACAGTGGCTCTGGATGAGTGGCCATTAATTTTAATTGCCTTGATATTAAAGATTAAGAAGTATTGGGACTAGCAGAATGGAAACGATCTGATGTCAAGCAAATCCACTCGTTGAGGCTTCCCCAGGCTGCTGGTGATATTAAAATTTTACTGTGAGAATTAAATAAACCTTTATTAGTGATGGCTGTTGTTTGATTGGTCCAGGGGTGTGCATAAACAGAGGGGTCTCATGCACATCCGTGGACAATACAGTTGATGTGCAGAGATTCCTCAATTATGATACTGTTAATAAAGCATAATCTGATTGTACACAATAATTATTTGCTAGGTTTCATTAATGCCTTATTGCTTCTCTGACTGACAAGGTGATATTAAGTGCAATATATAGAATACGGTGGAGTATTATCAGGGGAGCAGGATATATAAGGTGCCTTCCATATTACTGGTAAAGGCCAGAGGTTTTCCATTAATTGTGGTTAAACAAAAGCTGTGATGCATCAAATACAGCAGGATTTGACTCCTGCCTCAGCAGGATCCTGAACTGAGTGCTGTGACAGGACCCCAGCCCCTGCTACACCCTGTGGCTGTCTGATAGCCACTGGGCTGTCACTGGTCCCTTCCCCTTTACCACTGGAGCAGTTCTTTTATTGTCTCTGCTGTGTTGGCCATTGTCCATGTTCCAAACTGGGTTTGTTATTTAGGAGCTCTGTTACGGCAGCTGAAGTTAAACAAAGCCCCTAAGCAAGATTGTACAAACTTCCCTGAGCGGCTCCAGGCGTGACCCCTGTGCGGGTTAATAGCTGGTGCCCTGGGAGCCACCTTGGCTTCAGTACAGCATCTTCAAAGGGACATGACAAAGTGACTTTTCAGCCGTTATTGATTTATATGATTCCTTTCATTTTCAGCCAACCAAACATGATTCTGTGAGTGGGCTGCCAAGGTTGTTCCAACCCAAAAATAAAGAACAATTGCTCTCACTGCCTGCTTGCCCTCAGTCAACCGGACCCTGAGCAGCATTCTGGGTCTTGCACCAGTTTTGCTGACAAATGGCCCATGGTGGTAGGGGAGAGTGCTGTGGTGCAGCAAGCTCCAGGATGTATGCAGCCATCAGTCACTTGTGTCCCAGTTTGCCAAGAGAGCAGCAGAGCCAGGTTTTGCTCAGCTCCATAGTGATGTTTAACTGACCCCGGGCTAGTGCTCAGGTACCTGGTATGGGTTGTGTTTCTGCCATCTCAAAATCACATCTCAAAGCGATCCTGCTTTGCCCAGCCAAGCACTTTGTGTCTTTCACGTTTCCCACCTCTCTCCACTGCAGGTGTCCAACTGGTTTGGCAATAAGAGAATCAGGTACAAGAAGAACATTGGGAAGTTCCAGGAGGAAGCCAATCTCTATGCGGCAAAGACGGCTGTGACTGCAGCGCACGCCGTGGCAGCGGCTGTCCAGAACAACCAGACCAATTCCCCCACTACACCAAATTCTGGTACGTATCTGGCTGCTGCCTTTGAGCATCCTGGAGGGCCGTGTGCCACAGAGGGCCCTGACGGCGCCCTAGCGAGCTTGGTTGGGATGAGGAGCAGGCAGCTCCTTAGCAGCCATGGCACAGGGAGCAGTCCTGAGCCCAAGGACCAGGGTGGACCACGAGGGCTGAGCAGTGCCGTGGGTGGTCCCAGCCAAGCTGCCACAGCCGTACGCAAGAGCAGAGTGAGGCCCATGTAATCCCTGCAGTGGTAACGACTGCCTGGCTCTGGCTTCTGGCACCTTCTTTGTTTCTGTAGTTACTTCAGGCTTTTTCTCATTCACTGAAAAGAATGTAAAATGGAGCAGAGATCCAAGTTTGGTTGTGTAGAACTGTTAAATTTATTGTCAAGATAACAACAAAATAGAGGAATATTTTAGCGTGCTCAAATTACAGTTTAAACTCTGGATGGCTTGAAATGGAGTAGATGTTATAAACTGAAATCTAAGGATGGAACTTTAATTTGGAGTTACTCTGTGACATGTTCTGCTACAGGTCTTACTGGTGTGCTGGTGACATTTTCCAAGTCTGAGCACTGTCAGGAGTTGTCCTGTCTGAGTCAGGGAGTGTGTGAGGTGGGCGTTGCTCTTTTGGGCTCCAGGGGCAAAGGTTGCCACAAGCACAAACACTATTTGCAGTCAAGTTTTGCTGTGACTTAGTTGTGGACAACTTTTAAAGAGGATAGAGAACTATGGGGAAAAGACTTTAACTAAAAGAGAGTAAGAAACAGGTTCCTTCTTTGACAGTAATAAACCACACAATTGGGAACTGCCAACAATTTCCTTTGGAAGGAGACACGAAGCATAGGCTCAAAATGAGTGTTTGGTGATGGCAACTCATGATGGAGTGATCCACTGGGGGACAGCTCTGATATGGAAACGCTGTTGTACAGGCTGCTCTTCCAGAGGGAGGAGGTGCCCTGGGTTGCAGGAAGCCTCCAGGCTTGCCCAGCACAGCTCTGGTGTGGGGGTGAGAGCCGGGTTGTGGTGGCCGCTGTGGGGGGCCGGTGGCCACGCTCACCCTGCGCCAGGGCAGCAACTTCCCCTCCACTGAGCCCTGCCTGTCCTCTCCTCTCCTGCTGCTTCTCCTTCCCCTGCCCTCAGGTCTCGGGGTTATGTTTTTGCAGCTCTCTGTTATTCAGCTACCTAACTCTTTCCTTTCCAGGTTCTTCTGGTTCTTTTAACCTCCCAAATTCTGGGGACATGTTCATGAACATGCAGAGTCTGAATGGGGATTCTTACCAGGGGTCCCAAGTCGGAGCCAATGTGCAGTCACAGGTAGGAGAAATGCCCCCAGCAGGGCCTTTCTGGCAGGGTAGGGTTTGGGCTAAAAATTCCACCTTACTCTGGCTCTATTAACTGGTCTGGGCCTCGCTGCAGAGTGGAGGCTGCATATTTCTGGATGTGGCCTATTCTTACCCCGGCATTGAATTTCACAAATATAAAGGAAAGAATGATTTTTTTCTGATTGAAATTTTAAGCTTTGTGAATGCATTCGGCTCTGGCTTGAGCTCATGGAATGGGACTGGGTGCATCTGACTTCCATGGACACTGTAAATCCAGTGAAATTTTCTTTCTTTTTTTCCTTTCTTCCTTCCTCCCCCTGCCCTTTAAAAAAACAACTCTCCCATCTCTCTTTTATTTAATGGACAAACTTTTATTTATTAATTTATTCATCTATTTATTTATTTACTTAAATGTCAGAAAGCATCTGACTGAGCTATTACAATACATCTCATTGCCAGTCACTGTTCCAGCCCTCTCAGAAGGGCTGGCTCCGTGGTTTATGTGCTGTGTACACACCATCATCTCCTCCACACATGCCAGCACACACAGGCGGGTGAATATTCCCAGCACTTTGCTGCACTTGGGAAGGAGCTGCGGGCTGCAGTGCTGGGAGGAAGTTGTGTTTGGTGGTGAGAGCAGCAGAGATGTATGGGCTCTAACAGACATGGATTGGTTGAAATTCTGCCAGTCAGTCTTGATTGATAAATTTGCCTTTCATAGAAGATGCTAAACCCTTTTGGCTCACATAATTCAAAATGTTGCCTATTGTAAGTGATGATGTTTTAATAGATTTGGAATGATGAATCCTGTCTCCCCTCACTTTAAGGTGGATACCCTGCGTCATGTTATCAATCAGACGGGAGGATACAATGATGGCTTGGGAGGAAATTCACTGTACAGTCCACATAATTTAAATGTGAGTACCCAGGGGAACAGTGGTTTGGAGAGCCATAAGCGCAGTGACAGGTAAATGCAGTCATTAATACCTGTATTAATTGCTCTTGCAAAAATGTTGTGTAATATCACATCTTTGTGGAAGAACCACACAACAGCCCTTGGTGCAGCTGTAATGCTTCTTAGTGTAAGAAGAGAGAAATTCCAAATCTGTGACTATAAATAGTTTGAATTTTTATTTGTTTCAGCCTTATGAGTTAAAAGGTAACAGCCTGCAAGAGGCTCCTACGGCTCTGCTGGGCTGAGCTGCCTGTGCCAAGCACCAGCCCTGACAGACTTCCACACAACTTTGGCCATTTCAAGGGTGCCCTTTTTCCTGTGTGTAAGAGGCACCTTTGGCCTTGTTACTCCAAACGGCAGCGAACCGTCAGTCTGGCTAACAGATGCCAGTAAATGCAGGGATTATGGGCTTGATGGTGATAGGTGCTAAATGTCCTCCCGCTGGCCGTGAGCGATGGATGTGACAGTGCCCGGGCTGGGCAGGCCGTGCCCGCGGCTGCGTGCGAGGCGCCGGGATAAATCAACGTGGAGATGCGTTCTTCCTTCGGCTGGGAGCGGGGATGGAACATCCCTGCGGCAGCGGCGGGGCTGCAGGCACAGCCGCTCATCCCTCATCCCCAGCTTGTTTCTCCCACTTACAGCTGCAGCAATTAGTGCTTTATGGGTTGTTTTTTTTTAATGTTTCATATTTGCTTGAGAGGTGATTTTTCTTTGTTTTCCTTCATACTCATGGACTCTAAAATTACTGTAGAGAATTCCCAGTCTAGTGACCCTCTCCCCCCTCATAGGGTTTATCCCGGTGCTTCCCAACCGATGTGGATTGGGGTACAGGTGCTGCGCAGCCCCAGAAACCCAGGGAGAAGGGGAATGGGGAGACCCAGGGTGAGCTGCAGCAGCCATAGGGAATGGGAGGTTTTCCCCCCGTTTTGAGTTGCCACTTGCCATGAGAGTAAATATTAATGATTTAAAATATGATTGAAGATGTTCAATTGTAAGGGGAAAAAAGTACCATTAAATACTCAAATCTTTTACATTTGAAATGTCAAATCTTTCTTTTTGGATTTATAAATAACTCATAATAACCCACAACAAACCATATAAAAAGCCTTTTAGTTGCATTTCTCCTTTTTCATTTAAGTGTTTTGAAATGCTTCAGAGAATTTGCGATATCCTTATCAACATGATAAAATATGAAACTGTGATTGCCTGCAGCATTTTACAGACATGAATTCCATCTTCACTGATGAGGCCTGATAAGGCGCTGTTGTATAATACAGTGCATAATCTCAAACCACCAGAGTAAGGATTAATTTATTTGAAAAAAAGAATGCTTGCTGACAACCTCTCTTCCAGCTGCCAAGCTGAGTAAAAATATTGTACATTTGTTGTTTATAAATTTGGATAAAAGAGGAATGATGTTTACTTCAGATGGAATATCTTTAGACTCGTATCTGCACAAGAGTTTTTCTTTCTCTAAGCAGATTCTCGTATGGTTCCGAAATAAAAGCTCGCGGTGTTTCCGCATCGGAGCAGGGTCTGTGCTGAGCAGTGCGCGGGTATCGGCGGGGACTCAGCCCTGGGGTGCTGCGGGTTGGTGCTGCCGCTAATTTCACTGAAGGGAAAACCCGAACCCCTGGGTTTGTCAGGATGAAGCTGCGCTGTTTGCTGTTTCATCTGCAGAGGAGATAATTACCGAGGCTGCTCTCCCCTGGTGCAGCCGCTCAGCGCTCCCTTGCCGTGATCGATGAGCGCGGGGCCGGGCTGGCTGTGGGCTGCGAGGGGCGGCGGCCGGGGGTCCCCCGCCACACCGCCGCTGCCCCTACGCGTCTCCCCAGTGTCCCTCGGCCCGGGAGGCCTTGGGTGGCCGAGCCCCACGAGCACATTTCCCCGCTAACCTTTCCCTGCCAGCCCCGGGGGCAGCGCGGCGCGGCCCGGGCGGCTCTCGCGGGCGCTGCGCTGAGGCCTCCCCGTCACTTCCACTCAGCGTCCCCCAACTCACGAGCCCCGCGCCTCCCTCTTCTTGACTGACATAAAAATATGTAGCGACAAGCTGTCTGCCACAGCCGAAATCCGATCAGACATTGATTCCAGCAATTGCCTCGATTGGCCAAGACATAAGGCAAATTTGTTGCTGCGCTGCTCGTGCTGAGGCAGGTCTGAGGCGGGAGGGCCGCACGGAGCGGGCCGGAGCGGGGCTGCCGCTGCGGATAATTGCAAAACCGATCCTCTCTGCCTTTCACCAGGGACCGGGGGGGCTTGTGCAGGGAACCAGGCGGGGCAGCTCTGCCGAGGGCCCTGCCAGTGGGAAGAGGCCATTGCCAACTTGGGGAAGTGAGGGGAGACGCGGGGGTTAAACACGGATTGCCCCAGGCTTGTCTTCTCAGGGGAAAAAGCTGAAGTGCCGGTGAAGGGATGTTCCTCATTAGAGCAGGGATGATCTCTGCAGAAATCCCACAGCCCTGACTGCAGCCAACATCTGGCTGAAGGGCTCCTGCTTTCCCTGCTCGGGCACATCCCGTGCCTCACTCCGGCGCAGCCCCTGCAGCCAGAGGGGTGCGGGACATTCCCCTGCCCAGAGCCCCTCAGCCCCACAGTCAGCCCCTGGTGTAATTAAAATAGCAATGGTATCAATTGACTTGTTTTTGCCTTTGCAGGCTAATGGAGGCTGGCAGGACGCAACCACTCCATCTTCTGTGACTTCCCCTACAGAAGGGCCGGGAAGTGTGCACTCGGATACCTCTAACTAATCTCCTAGCAACACTTTTTCCCTGAGCTGAGATGCCTTGATTAGTGCATTCAGAGTTGCAGGAGAAAAAGAAAAGAGTTTTTTGTAGCCAACCACCTACAGCTTTACTGTAAAACCTTGTCTTACTAGAAAACTTGGTAAATCTGTTTTTTAAAGGTATCATAATCATTTGTATTTATACTTAAAACACACAATGTTAAAAAGCACTTTATCCAATTAGGCCAAGATTTAGCATTGTTTATAGCCCTGTAACTATTTTATCATAATTTATTATCAGCAGTTTTATGATGTTGGTCTAACAGTTGCCAATTACTTGGCCTTAAGGGTAAAAGTACAGGACAAGCTTAACCTCAGTAGCAAGAGCAGACACAAAGAACCGCCTCACCCAAATTTAATTGTGTGCATATTTCCATGGAAAGTCTACAGGAATCACAGACTTTGATTGTGTTTCATCTTTTCATATCTCTCACAGAGCTGGAATAAAAAGAGCTGTTCAGTTATTTCGGTTAACAATGGTTGTGTTTAAGAATCCTTATTCGTCACATTTTTGTTGAGATCTATTGTCTTACAAATTAGATTGGAAACCAGGAGCATCTTTTCTTGCTAAAGCCCCCCTGGAGCCCAAGTCTCCTCTCCGTATCCGACATGAACACAGGTTGTTCTTGGGAGACGACGACTCTTGCTGCTGGTCTCTGTGCACGCCACCACCCGGGGTTTTACAGTACGAGCTGGGTGCTACCCACGCCTGCCAAGGGCTGGTGCCTCTGCTTGGCAGCAAACCACAAACAAAGGAAAAGGAAAGGAAAAAGCACCGTGATATGGAGTGTTGTACATAGTGTAGCAAAAGAGTATTTATACATCTCACCAATCAAACACAGCTTTATTACCTCATGCGAACTCATACAAACCAATAGACTTTCAACATGTTCTGTAGCTTAGAGTGCTCACTTACTACCTCTGAACGATACTCACGCTGTAGTTTGTCTCTTTCTTATCTTTTTGCATCTTGTAATTAACTCTTTGTTTCCCCACGAAATGTAATGTACATTGTAATCTCCTACAAATCAGGGTTGCCTTGGCAACTGGTAAAGAAGCGGAAGTGGAAACATGGGGTCTTAGGTTGGACACAAAACAGTGCAACTGTTGTAAATACTGAGAAGCATTTTGAATGTTCTTCATCTTGTTACTAATACACGCAAAAACCAACAACTAATTGTAATGCATACAGACTTCAGTATTCAGTACTGTACATCCCCCTGGATTGCAGGGGCCCTTTCTCTCTCTCTTTTGTATTGTATGCGATTCTGAAACTGATTGAGTCATGAAAATAATTTGTGGCAGTGATTCTAATGTATTAAACCGTTTCGTGTTACTTTCTAACTGGATTACACCCTGGATTGAAAAGTCTTCCTCGTGGTAGTTATATGTAGTTTCAAACATGAATAAACTTTTTGCTTTCATGATCAAACGTTGACGTAATTTCTTCCTGCTCAGTTCAAGTCTGCTGAGGAGATGCGTTGGTCTCCAGAAGAGCGAGCTGGCATGGAGCAGGAGCTGAGCATCTCTTTAAACACCAGCAGGTCCTTGTGCCCTCTTGCCAGGAGAGAACTGGAAATCCTGGGAGAGGCACATCCTGGGCAAAGGCTTCCACCTGCCAGCGCCTGTCTCTGCTGACACCCTGCTCTGCTTGGGAGCGACAAATCAAGCAGAGGTAAAGGAAGGGGTCAGGCCTTTAGATGAGTTTAAAAGCCATCATCATATTCACTCTTAATTACCATTTTTATTTAACATTAACTTTGGAGCTATAGCCTCAGCTAGCAAGTCTAATGTGATTATAAAAATATTTTTCTTTATTAAAAAAACTTTTTTGGAAGGACGTATATATATAAATGCTAATTTTAAGTCTTTTTAATAAAGTAAAGGTCAATAACAGGTAATAGCCTATTTACCATATCTCAAGGAAATTGACTCACAGGAAATCAAATTAACGTTAATCACTTGCAGCAAATGGTCTTTGATAAATATAACTACTCACTACTTGGGTTAGTGCAGCTAGGCAGGAGGAGGCCGAGTGCTCACCAGCACCAGCCCCTGCTGGGCTGGAGCCACGGCTCGGTGCCTCTGAGGAGCTGCTGGGCCATCTCCTTCCCTTCCCTTTGGCTGTTCAAACCTTCAGATGCTATTTTGGGGGCTGAACAATTATTTGCATGATTCAATGAGCTTGTGGTTCAGCTTTTCTCTACAATTCTTGTATCAGGTTATTTTGTAAAATACCTTTGTTCTCCCACTCTCCCCTCTGGGCCGTGAGGACACTGCACCCCAAGCTCTCTCGCACCAGTGACTGCTGCTGCTTTCCTTCACAGAGCAGACTCACCTCGATTAGGTTTGGAATTGAACAGTGCTTCTCCTTCTACAGGTGGTGCATTTAAATTAACAGGTAAATAGCTAGACATTCCAAAATTGCAAAATTGCATTGCAAAACCTTTGTTATGGGAGCTGGGGCAGGTGGGGACTGTGGACTGCCGAAGACTTCTGCATGCTGAGGACAAAGCACCCAACAATTTGCATTTGCTAATGGAGCTCCCCAAGTCCACAGGCTCAGTGCTCATGCTACAGCTCAGTGGAAACGGTATTTTATATTTTAAATGTAAAGTGTGTCAGCGGAGGCGTAGTAGGCAGCGTAATGAACACTCAGACGTCCCTCATCTTGATCACATCTCTGCTGGCCACAGGCAAGGACCTGTCACACACTGAGGAGGTTCATAGGAAGGCCATCAACAACCTTTGGGCCGCCCTTGCGTGCCCCACGCCCGCTGGGCATCATTAGCTGCTGCTTTACAGCATTAAGGCTTTGGGTCCCTTTGAATTACAAGTGCAATTTGGTTTTCCTTACGTTGGAGAGCAGCCGCGTGGTTCCATGGCAAATAATAAACATCTTATCCTTGAGGCCTGATCACGCATCAGGGAGGTTTACTGCCAGCACCAGTACTAGGATCAAGCTGCTGATGGTATATTGTGTTTCACCCAGTAGTTACACCCTGAAGGGTGTCGGAGCCTCGGAAGAACAGCGGCTCACACCAGGGGAGATCCTCAGCCCTCCCACCCTGCCAGCTCAGCGGCACCATCCCGATTCCCTGCACCCACGTTTGAGCTTTTGGCACACGAGAACCCTGCAGCCGGAGCCATGGGAGGTGCCAGCCCTAAGAGCCTGTGTGGAGCACAGCAGGACCAAAAGGAGGATTTGCGGCAGGTCCCAGGAATCGCCATCTCCTGTGCCCGGCACCTACCTGAGGCATCCATCACTGGGACGGGCACGAGGGTGCCGGGAGAAGAGACCCACAGTGCTCCCCTGGGCACGGCTCGACAGCCACTTCTGGGACCGGCCCCAGCTCCGTCTGACCTGTGGGGACCTCGGCACGGCCACTGCTCCTGCACGGAGCAGCTATGAGCAGCCCTGCAGCTGGGGAGACGTGGTGCTTCTGTTTGTGACCTGCCGAGCCATGGGAGCAGCCCCACAGCCCCCCCAGAGAACAGCAAACCTCCATCTGCTGGTGACAAGGTCCCCGTGTGCCCGGCTTCCTGTGTGCCCAGGCTTGGGTGCGATGAGGGATCCTGAGCCCAGGGAGGGAAGAGCTGGGGACACCCTGGGGCATGGCAGGATCCGTGCCCCTTGGGGCTGGGTCAGTGCTGACTTGGCACCGCGTGTGTGAGGCTGACAGCGCCCTGTGGTCCTGCAGCAATGTCCTGACCGCACGGGAGCCCGTGTGCAGGGCCACTGCCAGTGTCTGTGCCACGTATTTCCAATGTGATAAAAGTAACTGTGAGTAACTGAAGATGTTTCCAGTTTGTGTTAATAAAATACATCTTTTTTAAAGAATGGAATTCTTCAAAGATTGGCAAATTTTATTTTATTTCATTAGCTTTAATGTCACTGCCATATGGACTGTGAAGAAAAGTGAACCATTAGATCAGAGGGACTGAGTTATCAGTGTGACACAGAAAGCTCTGATACAATTGTTAAGGATAAGCCCTGGAGTGATTTATTGCCTGCATTGTATTAGCCACAGAGGAGTTATGATATGCTCCCCATTCCTGTATCATATTAGGATTTTATTAGTCTAATATGACATGGTAATATAATATATTATTAGAATTCCCATCCAGTGATCCTTTCCTTGGTTGCAGGGGCTGGAGAAGGTTTTGTGTGCATCAGTTCCTGGGCCATCATGCCCAGGGAGGATGGGGAACACCAGGGATGGCACAGTAGCTGAACCTCCCCAGGTGGGCCACGGGGCCTCTCACCTTCTGTGGGCACCCCGGGCCACCTGCCTGTCACCGAATTTGTGTCCCCTGAACGACAAAGCCGCCGGCTCCTCCCTGCAGCTGGGCCAGCGGAAGGATGGAGCTGGCATTACGATCTTTGCTGGCAGCCGAGCCGCAGCCCGGCTGTGTCCCGGTTCCCGGGGATGGTCCCTGCCCTGCGGGATCCCTGCCCGGCTGTGCCGGGCTCAGCGCGGAGCGAGGAGCGATCGGCTCTGGGCGGAGGCTGCGAGCGCCCGGCAGGGAGGGGAGCCGGGGCTGCGGATGCGCTGACACGAGCCGCTAATTGCTGAGCCTCATCAGCGTGTCCCCGCACTCCCACACCTCTCCTCACGTGGCCCTACCCTCTGGAAACCCAACTTACCCAACAAATCCTGAAGACAAACTTTTCTTCAAAGTTTCCCTGGCGTCCCCATCCCTGTCTCCGAGCCCCCCGCTCCGCCTGGGAGCAGCTCGGAAGCAGACGCTGTTTGTAGCCTCATTCTTGCCTCCAGCAGCAGCAGCAGGAGGAAGAAGTTCAAGCATGTCAGAGCGCTACTAGGTGCTAAATCCCAAAATCTATATCAAAGCCTATTTGATCATCTTCCTGTCATTGATATAATAAAAAGGATTAATTTATTGGAGACTGCCAAAACCCTCATGTGGCAACAAATTTAAGGATCGTGTTTACACAGGCTAATTAAACCCAATTACTTTCATTCCTCTCCGCGGTGGTAACGCGGGGGCTGAGGTGTGCGCTGGAGCCCCCGGTGAGCCCCTGTTCCTGGGGTGCGTGGGGACCCAGAGCTGTCCCCCATGAGCACATCTCCGGGCCAGGGACCCCGGAGGGAAAGGGACCCTCCTCCTCCGCCTCCTCCTCCTCCTCCTGCTCTTCCTCCTCCTCCTCCTCCTCCTCGCAGTGCCCCGGCACGCTCGGCTCCCTGGGAATGGCACCTCGGAGCAGGGGACGGTGGCACACGGCTGCCCCTGACTGCGGGGGAGGCTTTGGGAGAGCAGATGGGGCCACTGCCCATGGTGTGAGATCACCTATTAACGCCTGCTATTTGTATAATAAAAGGTTGCATTTTTTGATGGAAAAATTCAGCATAAGGAGCACGCGTCATTAAGTATGGAAATCCAAAATTTTATTAGCAATCTGCTAGATCTGAACTGACGCCAATTAAACAAAAAAGATATCATTTATAAAAAGGCAGAGTTCAAGTTGTATTAAATATGAAATGCAATTTTCTGCTGGTTGTGATTTATTACCATTGGTACATTGTTCAAAGAAGCATGTTATATTTCAATAGAGAAATATTGTTTATTCATTAATATTTTAAAACTTGCTTATTGCTGTGTATGACTCTCCTGCAGAATGAAACTTATGATTTAAAACATGAATTAATAAACACATTTGAAAGTGTTAGACAATATCACAACCGCTCATTTTTCATTTTCCTGAGAGCATATTAAACTTTTATAATTCTGTACTATTATTTTCCAAATAAAGGTATTGGCTCTAAATTGCTAATTTCAGGTACAGATGAGAGAAAGCAATAACAGATGTTGGGAATCAGTCACTATGTCCTGCTAATATGGCTCGATACTTTTGTTCTCACATTATTCACAAATCTCCTGTTAAGCACCACGGCCCCCTCAGAGAGTCTGGGGTGCTCTGAGTGCCTCTTCTGGTGGGACAGGAGGGCTCCAGGTACACCAGCCTGGAGAGAACAGTGAAGGTTCCAGGTGTGCTGGGCCAGAGGATGATGGTGAAGGTTCCAGGTACGCTGGAGCCGTGGGGCTGCGTCGCGCTCTCAACATCAGGAAACGTTTGATAGAGGCTGACATTCTAAATGAGTCCGAAAATATTTTATACAAAATGTGATAAAGCAGTAATGATCCCAGAGGCCTAGGGTTATCTTGGTGATTACCTGCACCCACCACTTGAATCAGCAGCTTTACGGGGTCCAGACCCGACACGCGGATCCCTCGGAACTCATTAGTCCTGTGTACTTTATATAGACTCACCTCTCAGCTGCTTGATTCAAACTAACCTTTTTTGTATCTTAAAATCTCTGCTGCCACAGCCTTGCTGTATTACCATAACAATAACCAGTATTTCAATTTTAAGAACTCATTTTTCCTCAAATAGAAAGTGCCAATCAATTT